TTCACTTCTCCATTTTAGGATGTAATTCTGGACAGAGATATAAAGAGAGACGATCATGAGGGGAATGGACAGGAGGAGGAGCAGAAGGGAAGAAATCAACATTACTTAAATATATTAGAATTTAGAAACAATTTATCAGTTATGATTTAATACTTGAGCTGTGAATGGGGGCAGCAGTATAAAATACACTATTCAAAAGATAACAGCAAAGAAACAAATAGTCTTTTATCACTGTCTCTTAAGACCAACACATTTTGAAATTCTATACTTTCGGCTTGTTGTTGATACCAATAACAATGATGTAAACAAATATATCCTCTAAGAATTCTTATCTACTAAATATTTTATTTGTTTCTTCTCTAAATAATTACCGTCCAGAATGTTTCTGAACAACAAGCATTCCTATCAATGAGGAACCTTCACTGTTAGCTCATTTTCAGCTTTAATTACCTTCAAAAGTCAGCAAGACAACATATGAATGTTCACATCTTATTAAACAACTTTCCACATTTAGGACTTTGAATCTCTAGAGGGAGGCTGAGTCCATTGCCATCAAGAATTCTTATTTGGGTGAAGTCATGACCTACATAAAAATTCCCTTTGCCCTTTGTCTACCCAGTAAATATGCTAAGGATGGAAGTAAGGATGCATTTAGAAAATCTAAAGTCACTGAAAAGTCTTGCTTCTGTAAATAATTAGAAAAAGATACATACGGGGAGGCCAACAAGTGAAGATGTGAAGGTCGGGCCCAAGAAACACCTTTGATACCACAGAAAACCAATCTTAAATAGAAAGCTCATTGCTCAGTATGTATTCTAGTTAAAGTCTTCTGTCCTTTTGTTATAGAAAAACACCTCCAACATTTATCAAATATTGGATACTATCCATATAAAATCCCTGAGGTACATACAGATTGCTGAGTGATAAGAAACTGAAATGATAATGGGACAAAGGGGAAAGTTTGGTAATAAGAGATGGGCAAGGGGCCTAGGTAGACAGAGGAGGAGCATCTAACCCAGGACTTGGATGAGGGGGAAAGAGGTTAGAGAGACAGCAGGAGGAATTACTGAAGGTCGGGCCAAGAAACACCTTTGGTACCACAGAAAACCAACCTTAAATAGAAAGCTTATTGCTCAGTGTGTATTCTAGTTAAAGTCTTCTGTCCTTTTGTTGTAGAAAACATCTCCAACATTTATCAAATATTGGATACTATCCAAATAAATTCCCTGAGGTACATACAGATTGCTGAGTGATAAGAAACTGAAATGATAATGGGACAAAGGGGAAAGTTTGGTAATAAGAGATGGGCAAGGGGCCTAGGTAGACAGAGGAGGAACATCTAACCCAGGTCTTGGATGAGTGGGAAAGAGGTTAGAGAGACAGCAGGCGGAATTACTGAAAGTAAGCGGAATTACTGAAAGGCGAGTGGAATTAAGCAGGAAGGAAGACAGAGGAAAAACTGCTTCCTGAAAACATTGGAAAGCCAAGGATTGGAATTTTAACAAGGAAATAAAATCTTCAGGCCATTTTTTTTTTAGAAATATCTTGGCTTGTATGGGGAGGATGAATTTGAAGCAGAGGCCAGAATCCTGGTATGAGCAGAAAAGAAAGCATGCATTTCAAAGCCAATAGAATACTGAGCTAAGTAGCTGGGGGATGAGGCTTTAAAGAATATAGATAAAATGGACTGGAAGTAATGGGTGGATTGATAAGGGCCCTCAGAAAATAATAATAATCCCTGTATACTCTGGAAGGATGATCTTTTCTGCCAAATTCAAGCTCCTGGAATATTCCACTCCACTCATGCAAAGGTACCCTGTTGTGTGGACCACAGCCTACCCCTTACCTCCAAATCTTAGAACTGGAGCTGTCTTCACCCAAGAAGCCAAGATCTTTCCTGAACACACCTCCATCTTGAAAAGGAAGGGTCTTCCTTTCTTCACAGACGGAATCCACATCTCATCCTCTGAGCTCAATTCCTCATACTCTCTTCTTCCCTCCCCTGGGCTTTTTTTTCTTTTTTTAAATAAAAGATTTCTTGCCCCAAACAATTCTCCTTTCTAAACTCCCATTTGTAAATTTTTAATTAAGTATCTCTACCTCACAAGTGAAGCAGGAATTTTTTGGGGTGAAAAAGACAGATTTAAGAAATTTTAGAAATTAAGGGAAGGGGACCTTGGAGGAAAGGCAGGGCTGCAGAGCAGTAGGAGGTATATTTCCATAGAATAGGGGAGCTGAAAAGCTGCAACAGGTGCATTTGCATAGAATGAGGGAGCCCGGGAACAGCAGAAGGTCTAAATTTGCAGAATAAAGGGAAGGAAGCCCTTGTTCCAGAAGGAGAAGAAGAAAGCCCAAAGGGAATAGGAGAACAATAAGGAAGGAGGGGGAGAACCTCACCTGTTCCTTGTGGTGTTTGACCTTTGAGCTCAGATAGTAACCAGTCCAATGGGAATAGTGGCCAATCAGAGGGGACATTGAGGCACAAAAAATGCAGCCTTTATAAACCCGGGAAAAAGGAACTCGGTGGGACTCTTCACCCTCCCCAAGTGGGAGTCTGTGCTGTGAGATTCTTTCCCCTTCCCCATGTGAGAACCTGTTCTTGTTCTTCAATAAAATTTCCACCTTTGCTGTACCACCTTCCGTCTGTGGATTCATTTTTCGACTCCATTGAACAAAAAATCCGGGGAACCATCCTGCCCAAGGGAACACCTTGTGAATCCCACTTCACGAGGGTTGTCATTGGTCTGCCTGGATTCCCAACTAAAGCTCTCCTCCCTGGAAATTCCAAAACAGATGATGGACCCATATTTGAGAAATTGCAGAGAGGTGTTATGGGACAGCCCCCTTAGCCAATGGGAGAGGACCTTCCCCAATCTCCATTCTTGTCTTCTCATATGAGAGACTTCAATTGTGTTGTGATAAAGTGGATTTATTAAGACATTAAAGCAAGTGAATTTATTAAACAATTAAAGCGTGCACATTTATTAAAGAAACAAAGCAAGAAAATCTATATATCTGGTTTAGGAAGCATAGAGGGGCTGTCGGGTAATATGAAGAGCAAGTGGGATGAAGGGCTTCTGCCTTATATATCCTCCTGTCTATAAGTTGTTTTTTTTTGTTTGTTTGTTTTGTTTTTTAATTCCTCTGTTAGATATCCTAGTATAAATTAACGATAAAGATCCGCCCCCCTTTTCTTTGTTGGGGCTTTCCCACAATTTATAAGAAGCACCTGACAACTTTATTTTGACAAACCCAAGACCCGCTGCATTCACTGTTTAAACAGTGGATGAGATGGACTGTCCTTCCCTTCCCCCTCCTCTCCTGCATTCTTTTGTGAGAAGAGGTTTTAACCCTTTGTTCTCAAGATAAGGTCCTGCTATAAGCAACCTGCAAATCTTTTTGATTTTGTTTAATTTTCCTGCCTCAGTTTCCCTATCTCACTTGTCCCAGAATTTCCCTTGCTCTTCATTGTTCTAGAACAAGACTTACTGATATCACAATACTCCTCAACTTGATCCTTGGTCCAGAATTTCTTTGAAAGTCCCCAGAGGAATCAAAACAAACTTGTAACATCTGAGACTTAGTAACAAGTTACAAGGTGCCGGGTATGGTATTGGATGCTTTTAATATATTATTTATAATATATTTTATTTAGCCCTCGAAATAGTTCTGTGAGGTATGTACTATGTGAAGCTTAGGAAGGTAAGTAACTTGCCCAAGGTCAAGCAAGATTTCTTTCTTTATAGTGCTTCTCCATCTCCTGTAATTATTACCTTCTTTATTGAGAAAACATCTCATCTTTCATATTCATTTCATTCAATCCTGTAGAGATTTTGGATGTATTTACATAGTCATTAGTCAAGTCAAATATAATTCAAAAAGTTTACTGCCCTTTTCACTTATTCAGTTCTTCAACACACTTTTGGTGTGTACTTGCTACTTGGTGCTAGGCATTCGAATTCAAAGATGCTTAACCAACCCAGCGGTAAAAGCTCCCAGTTTCCCCATTGTGAATGAAGATGTCCACACGAGTATAAAAAACCACCATTTCCAAACCTCAGCTATAAATGGGGAGACATCTGTACATGAGGTTAAATGGAATGTGGATATCGGACACCTGTGAGTCCCCTTAATCTGCCTTCTCACGCATCCACCTTCCTATATACAATATCTGTTTTTTGTCATTAATTCTATTTATTTTTTAATTTATTATTTTTATTAATTTACTTTCCAATTACAGTTGACATACAATAGTATATAAGTTTCAGGTGTACAACACCATGATTAGACATTTATGTAATCGTATGGTATTTGTCTTTCCTGTCTGACTGATTTCACTTAGCATGATACCCTCTAGGACCATCTATATTGCCATGTATGGCAAGACTTCAATCTCTTTAATGATTAGTAATATTCCATTGTATCTAGGTACCTCTTCTTCTTTATCCATTCATCTACCAATGGGCACTTAGGTTGTTTTTATCCCTTGGCTATTGAAAATAATTCTGCAATGAACATAGGGGTGCATATATCTTTAAAAATTTGTGTAAATAAATGCTCACCAGTGGAATTTCTGGGTCATATGATAGTTTTATTTTTAATTTTTTGAAGAAACTGTTTTCCCTAGTGGTTGCACTGTTTTGTAATCCCATCAACAGTGCAATAGGGCTCCCTTTTCTCCACATTCTCACCAAGACACGGTTGTTCATTCATTAATGTTAATGTAAAAACATTCAAACCTGTAATGAATTTTCGTGAGTTTATTTGAGCCAAACTGTCGACAATTGCTGGGAAGCAGAATCTCAAATTATTGGGATGGTGCTCCGGAGAATGGCAGTTCTTCACCTTGTTTTATACACTACAATCCAAAGAGGAGAAGTAAGCGCGCTACATGAATCCATTGGTGATAGATTAGGGAGGCCGCAGAAAGCAAAAGGGGGTTGGGGAGGAGCAACCTCTGGGATTGGATAAAAAGTAAAATGATAGACACATACTTCTTCTACTTATGTGAGTACAGGATAATTAACAGTCAACAGTTAACATGATCACAATAACGATGAGGGAATTTGTGGTCTCTTTCCCCACTGGAGCTCAGGCTCATTTGGTTGTGCCCTGAGGGGTCCGGAAAAAGGGAAGTTACAAGTTACCCTGACATTTCACAGGTGTGTTATCTTAGATTCAAAAGGACAAGAGGCCCAGTTAGGGTAAAGATTGACCTTTGTCAGGGAAGATACTGGCCTAGGACATGACTACCCACTATAAACTGCTTTTACTTAAAGTTTTAATTTCAGACCGTCCTTGTGGTTATTTTAGGTCTTAGAGTTTGCAAAACTGCCATGCAGGTCTTCCCTGAGCTTGTCAGGTTAGCATGTGGCTCCTTTCCTCC